GTGACAAGCACGGACCAGAGCGGGAGCCCAGGCAGTGAGTAACCCCACAAGGCTTGACAAACTGTCAAAATGGATCTATGTAGGAAAGAACTTGCCCTGTCGCTGCCCGTCGCATCATGAGAATCCGGCATCTGGCACTGCCTGCCTTAAACCGGGATCCCCCCTCAATACTACAACCATCTGCCGCCCCGTGGACTCACCGTTACCTTTGGCGGGGATAGGAAACAAGCAGAGGTTACATATCGCGCACGGAGAGTTGCAATATCCCGACACTCTGGCGTGGCCTGGCTGACCGTTTGACTTGAATAAACTTTCTGACCGTTGTCTTCTCTCCCCCGGCACCACAACTTGCGGATGCGCCGTGATGGTCCACTGGACATGGTGACAGACGGATTCCCCAGTTTGTGCTTAGTTCTTGGCGTCACGGGTGTAACGGACCCTCCAGAGGCAGCGTCGCAGGCTCGTTCTCGGGCTGGCGGACTCTACCCTTTTCCGGACGTTGAAGATCTCAGCTCTAGACAGATCTTTCTCGGAAACACATACCATTCTCTACTTTACGCGGATATGTCACCGACTCTCTTCCTATTTCATCATCCGGCGGCAACAGTCTCCTCGTCATCAGCCAACTCTTCAACCTTTAAGAATCCACAATATCCATGATCAGCCAGTCGCCTCCACTAAACTCCCCACAGCTTCTAACCCTATTTCGTTAGGCGTTTTCCCGTTCACTCTTCGTTAGTCTATGTATCAGGGACATGCGAGGTCTCGCACAGCGATTACGAAACCGAAACCGAAAAACTCCACACCGTTTCCGCACTCTTCCAAGTCGGCACAAAGTCGTCGATTGCGGCTCACTTTTTTTCTTTTTTCGACCCTGGATACGCTGTGTTTCAACGACCTGGCCCTCTCCCCGATGTTCCAGAACGAAAACGTAAAATCTTCCATCTACCAAAGGCAGTTTGGCAAAGTGTTCGTATCTCGATGGTTTCAAAACAAATTGAAGCATAATCCAGCTCTAGATCCAGCTCTAGGTCCGAATACGGATGCGGATACATAGATTATTACAACCAGACACCTGGAACCGAGTCGACTGCCACGTTTTACACTAAACGTATTACACACGCAGCACGTTTGCTGATCGAATCGGACGGCTTGGTGAGATCTTGTTAACCTTTCTACAAGATGATCATCCACGGAGACAGTTCTTAGTGTAGGTAAATCAGCAAAAACCCTTTGCTCATCTTTATAGACAGTGCGCCTGCTCCCGGGCTGCACGGTGCCAACCTGACCAGCTGAACCAACAGCTGTATAAATGGAAGTTCATCGACATTACCAACATCAAACGATCCATCAGACTTGCCCAGTCAGCAAACATCAAGTTTATATCGTCCTTAGGTCGCTCCTTGGGCATCTTGCATCTTGAATTCTCTCATTTGTTACATCACCAACGACCTGGTCCAAACCATCCAGATATACTACATACACGAAAGTCGCGGATCCTTCGCCCATGCGCACTGTAGCACGCACACCAGATGATTTGCAGGACGTCATACTACATTGTGGTGGTGTGGGTGCTTCATATGTCGCGACACACATCAGAGGATCGCGCAAAAACAGTGGCGGCTTCCATTCTAGGCACAGAATCACAATTGTTCTCGATTCGTCACCGAATCAGTGTTACTGCGCTTGATATAGCTGAACTTATCGAGCATGCCATGCCCGTCTGTTTGTATATATCAGTCACGTGCGGGTGGTGCTTATATCTTTTCCTGGAGTTAATATTGGATGGACCTCGCTTCTTGCAGTGACCGTCCCAGTCACCTTAATTACCAAAAGAGAGTGAGTGGCTTGCGCTGACTAGGGGAAAAAGTTATTGTTCTCGATGGCCGCTTTATCAGATTCCCCTACTGTATAGACATGACTAGAGATAGCCGAGACAGCCACAGACGGTCAGTCATGGCTACCTACTCGGGCATGCATTGCGGACCCGTCAACAGCAGAATGATAGATTACGAGGTGAAAGCAATCATTGCAAAGTCTCCTTCCCAGAAGATGTGTTAGCACGGCTGGTGCAACAACACCAGCACAGCGTAATAAGTCCAGAAGCACGATGAAGTCGTCCAGTGTGGTGATTTCTAAAAAGGAGAAGCGGCTCCAAGTAGAATCCACCTTTATAGATGATTCTATCAGTATAAGCTCCAAAGAGAGGGAAAATGATGTACGGCGGTCTAGGAGCTCTTGCCTCCATTAACAGGACAATCTGGAGATAGATGCTGTGATGCCCGTGTTCACTTCTGTAGGTCAGTGAATCTGCTTCTAGGTACATGCACTGCATGTTCTTCTGAGTTGATCCCGACATTTGTGGGAAACATAACAATGCAAAAGCTGCACTAACATGAGCAGTAAGCAGGGACAGACGCATTTTCCATCACCCATTGGGATATGTACCGTATAGACTCGGGGCATCCGTTTCTAGGTTCCAGGGCCTAACTGGCAGCTACACAATGGCGATCACAGAAATGTAACTGGCGTGCCTTAGGGTTTGGGTTTTGGAAGAGATTTGCGCAGTCTGAAATGCTTAGCTGGAAACGGATGCCAGGAGTCTATACGGGATAGTGAGAAAAGCAGTTGAGCATTGGTAGGATATTGCAGGGCATGGAGGACTGTGGAAGGATTCACAGAAGCGCCATACCTACTCAGTCTCTACTAATGGTTGATTCTGTATCAATCCGACGGCTATGATACGTTGTCTACCCATGGGGCAGCAAAAGATTTACAGACAGAGTTTTTCTGTATAAAGAGAACATTGCGGCAAGCCTGCAGCTTCAGTTGAACATTGTATTGAGCAAGCAAATGGTCAATATACAAGAGTCCGAAGTCCATATGTAGGGACAGCCCATATATACTGATGGAATCAACCTCGTGCCGATGGTGTAGGTATGATGAAAATGAAGTGTTGGTTTTGTTTCTAAAAGAAGCATCGTGAATGGCTGCTGACGCCCTTGAACTCATTGTTCACTTGGTGACACACACAACATCTGCATGCTCGCCTTGTGAACATATCTCGGGAGCCATGCCAACAACCTGGTTTGTATCGTCTCGTTAGCCGCCTTAATAGCTCACCCTATCTTGAGTGTCACTGAGCTACTGTTACCGCCGCGTGAAACAATACTATCACCGAGGGCCGTCGCACGTTGAAGTCTAGGATGCGGGACGAAGGCTGACTCGTCGATGTTTACCCTGTAAATCATGCTCTTAATATCTTAGTACCCTTGGAGGACAAACTTACGTTTGGATAACCATGAACCGATGTTCATTTTCCAAGCTTGAGTCGTTGTGCTTGCTGACGGAGCTGAACGAAGCGTGACGTGAAAAAGTCAGCTAACTGGGTCTTCCTCATATCGTATATCTTCTTGAAGGCGTGACAGAATCGACCTTTCCCAAGCTCTTTCGAATAGATGACTATGGGTTTTTTGAAGACAGAACGTGAATGCGAGGAAAGTGTCAGGATGATCAAAACAAAGTGTTGGCTCAAGGGTGTTGTTGCCGGTCCTATTAGTTGGAGATCGTCCACAGGCTAAAAATGGGTGTATGATTGTTAGTGCTTTATCAAATGGTGCGTCGAATAACGCCCAACACTAGAGAATCTAGCCATCTCCCCTTGTGGAAGAACACCATCGAGTTATTAGGATTCATTGCTCGATGCCTTGATCGAGAAGAGGTAAATGCATGACTGTAACACCTGAGAGCAATGGAAGGAGATGACGGCAGTGATGACCTGAATGCTGCTGGCAGATAAGGTACCTCAACGGAAGGGTTCCATTCCCTCACCGGCAGGCAATCCTATGCCGCACAAAACCTACCTGAACGTAACCCTCAGTCTGGACCCCGACCCCGACCTCATTCAAGCAACGCAAGAAGCAAGCAAATTTTTGGACTCTCCAGGCAAACTTTATCCATCTGTTTTCTTGTCATTCAGTTCAGCTTCCATCTTGATTTGTTCTTAGCGGGCTCTACGTGATACCCTCGCTGTACGCTCATAGCGCTGTCGTCATCGGAACGAGCAACGAGAACGACAAGCGACCGTGCTGGCCTCGGTCTTTTTGTCGTGTTGATTGTCAAGCATTTGACCTTGTCTACCTCTCTAGCTGGCAGGACGCCCGTCTGTCCGTCATCCCTCCAACTTGGGTAATAGACTGATAGACAGCTAAGTAGGTGACCATCGGCATTGGGTCTCTCTCAACTTGCTCCCGTACAAGCACCCGAAACCCCTCCTTCGATTGGAACCTCCCATCGGACTCCCATCGGACCGGAGATCGCTCCATCTGCCTCAGACCAGAGTCGCTCTCTCTGCTCCAGGGCGACTGACAGCAAGTTCTCGTTGGACGCCGCCAGGATGAGCGCGCGTGCTGTAGCACCCCATTGGATCTAAACGCACCGACAAGCTCCGCCATCTCCGGCAACGACGGCCCTCCGTCACTGTGCCTTGCCCTGCTTTCTGCTTCGTTCTCTCCTACCTTACCCTCAAGCTTTTGCATCCCGTCAACTGCCGAGCGCGAAAAAATCCCACCTTGGACCCCGAATCTCGATTGCTTTGTACTCTTTCTTTTTTCTGTCCCGTAGCCCTGCGATCGCTTCCCAATATCTCAACATTATCCTCTTGCCGACCACATCGTCGTGTGGCGCTCCACCCTGCCGCCGTACACTACCTGGTCCGCCCCGCGCACTGAAGCTTGTTGACATCTGACAACCCAGCAGCCGGGAGCATCGACCTAGCGCACCCACTGCACGCGGTTGCCCCTGCTGCTGCTGGCAGGCTTGGCTTTGATTGATCTGCTCCGTCATTCTGATTAGCGGCCCCGCCAGCCGGAACGAATGCACCACCTCTTTCGACAAGACAACGACGACAGACACTACACACCCATTGTTTCGCGCCATCCTGCCTTGCATCTCTCATCGGCTCCCGGCGGGTCACATTAGCGCCTGTCGTCAATACCACCATGGGGAACGCAAACACAAAGGAGTCCCGCGGCGATGACAGCGGCCGCCGTGGCCTCCACTCCGCCCTTGACGCCGGTATAGGCTCCTCGACACAGTCTGGCAGGGAGTCATCTAGGAGGAACCGCAACACCAGACACGATCTCAGTGGACTTTTGGGGCGCGCTGCAGGAGGCTCAAGCTCGCACGCCGATGAGCGCCATGAACGCAAGGAGACAAAGCAGGAGAGGGAGGCCAGGAGGCTGGAGAGGGAGCGCGTTGCCCGGCTACAAGAGCGAGAGCGGAGCATGAAAGAGGAGCATGTTGACGGTGGCTATCTCGTCACCATGGGTACCTACGTCGGGCCTGAGGACTTTAACAAACAGATCGTCAGGCAGTTGATGGTATGTGCGCTCAAAGCCATGGTATCAAGCATATTCCTAACTCGTATCATCCCTCTAGATTGAGCGTAAACTTGCTCCATTTTGGCGAGGACTAAACGACTTCGACGAGAACTGGACTGAGCCTCAAATCATCGCTGCCGCGCGAGGCCTGCCGATTCCGGCTGCCGGCGAAACTCCCCCGGATGAGTTGATCCCACGACCGCGCTCACCTGCTTCACCGACCGACGCGAGCTCGAATACCAACCACCTGACAGTCCCGATCGGCGGTCGCAGCCTCTCCACAGCTTCTGAGCATAGCACATCCAATGCGGGCTCTGCGCTGCCCTCTCCCGGTTCCGGCAAAGGGAGCAGTTCGCCTTTTAAGCCCACGCGAGGAAAGGCTATTGCTGCTGTCTTGGGAGGAGGATCTTGTCGCAATGGTTCGAGTACAGAAATTGCGCCCCGCGAAATCATGTTACCCAACGACCCCTTTGTCAACGGACAACCCCTCGAAGTTTTCCTCTACAAGAACGCTACCGAATGTCCGATCTGCTTCTTGACGTACCCTCCATACTTGAACCACACCCGCTGCTGCGACCAGCCCATTTGCAGCGAATGCTTCGTCCAGATTAAGCGGCCGGATCCGCATTTCCCAGAGGGACACAACGAGAACGATCCGAATAACAATCCTGAAGAGTCCGCGGGGCTCTTGGTATCTGAGCCCGCTTGCTGCCCCTACTGCACGCAACCCGACTTTGGCGTCACTTATGAGCCGCCACCATTCCGTCGCGGTTTGACCTATGCCATTTCACCCCTAGCGCTCGGAAGCACAAGCGCAGCCATGTCGTCCGAAAGTTCAGTCAATTCAGGATCTCTGTCTCCCGGTGTCGCTTCACCAGGTGGCCGTCGTCGCAACCAGTCATTGTCTGCCAACGCACCGAATGTCGTTCTGACGGATAAAGTCCGGCCAGAATGGGCAACCAAGTTGCAGGCCGCACGAGCACACTTGGCGAGGCGCGCTGCTGCTGCGACAGCCTTACACACAGCAGCGTTCTTGATGAACAACAACGAGTCTCGTGCGCTTAGGAGTCGCTTCGGGCGTCGGAATACCGGGGGCTCTGGGTCAGCATCGGCTACTCCTGGTAACGGCGATGAGAATAGGGGTACCGGCCCAGCTACTCCTGCTAATGCTGGTGCTACTGCCAATACAGATCGCGCCGCCGGTTCTAGTGGCAACGGAAACCGACGTAGCCGGTTGGAAGATCTAGAAGAGATGATGTTCGCCGAGGCCATTCGCTTGTCCTTGGCTGCGGAAGAGGAGCGCAAGAAGAAGGCTGAAAAGGAGGAACAGAAGGAGGCAAAGAAACGCGAGAAGGAACGGGAGAAGGCAGAAAGGAAGGCAGAGAAGGCAGCAGCCAAAGCCGCAGCGAAACAGGGCGGACCCTATGAGGCAAGCCGCAGTGGGCACAGCTCGGCTAGTGGAAGTAGCCTGAGTCTACCTGGGCTGAGTTTCGGTAGGAAGCGTGGAAATAGTGCTGCCAGCAACCTCCGAGTCGAAGCCAGCGTAGCCAGCGCTATGGCATCCACAGGTGCCGCCATGACAACGCCAGCAGCTCCCGGAGCGCTAGCGCCAGACTCGAGCACCAAGGACAAGGGTAAAGCCGTTGATAGAAATGCGGGCGCAGCGAGCAATGACGCTTCTGCTTCCTCGCCTTCTGCTCGCCCCATTCCGTCCCCCCAGCCGATGGCTGGACCGTCGCATCTTCGCCAGATGAGCAGTGCCTCGTCTGCATCTTCGTCTGCGGTGGAAAGTAACCAGGGCGGCACACATGTGCCGCCCTCTAACCTCCAGGATCCTCGCGGTAGCGGTCTCAGTTTAGGTGGCCGTTCTGGAGTTAGCGAAGACGGCGACGAGCAGGACAGGGACCCAAGCACCAGCACTGAGCCCATGTTCAACTTTAGAAGTTTGGCCGAGGTAGTTGGCGTGAGCATCGAGGGCGAGCACGCCGGCAAGCGTCTCAGTCAAATCAATGCCGACGGGCAAGCGATCGAGGAAGAAGATGAGACGGCGAAGTCTGGTGAAGGTGCTGGCGAGCATGTAGAGCATGTCTTGGATTCGCAGACGACTGGTATTTCGGAGCAGGACTCGGAGATTAACCCGCAACCTCCCCGGTTAACTATCACGCTCGATTCGCCAGCGACATCGGTCGGGGACGTCAGTACTGCCAGCGACTCGAAGCATGTCGGCAACGAGACGACTGTGGAGCATGCGACACAGGTCACGCTGTGATCAGTTACTGGCAGCGAAAACAAGAGAAACACAGAAAACAAACACAGAAACACAGGCTAGGAAGAGCACCCGGAATCACAGAAACAGTCCAAACCGCAAGAGACAATAAGCTCTTGGTGTAGGAGTAGGAAGTGCGAAGATTGATCACATTGAGAAGGAAAAGAAGGAAGGAAGGAAGCAAAGAAGGATGTTAGGCGTATGGAAGAGCAACACCATTACCAATGCCACCATTGACTCGTCAAGGTTGTCTGTATGTGCCAGGGAGGAGAAAGAACATCTAGGAGGACCAATTGATTTTGTATATCCCACAACCACCTACTACCAACTTTGTCTTGCCCGCCACTGTTGTCAAACACATTACCCCTAAGGGTTCTTTTCGGTTCTTTTCTTAGTAGGACAGCTTCAACAGCACCCAGAGACGGACATAATAAGGAGCTTCATGGTTGCTCATTGACCATTGACGAATTTATTTGCTGGAGTCTTGCACATGGTTACTTAACAGGGATGATTTTCTTGCGCTTGGCATTTTGGCGTGGAAGTGGTTAGATAGGTTGCCATTGCGTTTTTTTCCCCATTTGAAGACTGGGAGGGGAGTCTATGGATAGGAGAACGGAGAACTACCACGTTCAAGGTAATGAGTGAGTCAGTAGGGAAGGAGATTCGACCATATCACAAACAACAGCGTGCGACAATCAAAATTGTGTGGCTTCGAAGATTGTGTGTTTTCGAATGTGTCAGGAACAATGATGGGTCGTCACGCAATGAGTCATATATAATTGACCTAGGCTCGTGAAGTATTATCTTTCCGAAACATGTCCGTATCTTCTGTGTCAAGTAGTAGTCTGACATGAGTTCCTTGTGCAGAACAAGGGAGGAAGGAGTGATGGGCGAGGCAACGTTGACAGTGCCCTGTTTGTTGCTGATGCGGGAAGCATTGTGTAGGGCTTATGGGTGCTATCTTGCAAGCGCTAATACAACAAATAAAACCCCTTGTGGTGTAGTTGGATATCACGTTCGGCTGTAATTGTCTAGATTGTATACCGAAAGGTCACCGGCTCGATTCCGGTCGAGGGGAATTTCATTTTTTGAACTTTTTCCCTTTCGTCGTGTTACACTTTGGCTGCCGTTATTGCGCATTTCGACCAGGTATTCCCTCTTTTTTCCCTTTTTTTTTTTTTTTTTTTTTTTTTAGTGCATTGATCGCCCATGGATTCCAAACTGCTATCTGCCATGATCAAGTTGTGATTTGACTATTCTCAGGTGCCTACAGTGAAACTTTATTTCTCTTGACTAATAGCCTAGGCACCGCTGAAGTTCTTGTATCCATCATATATGCCGGTACGCCAGATTCCTTCTTTCCCATTGTCTCTACTCTCACTCCAGTCCCATTGTCCGTTGTCCACTCCAACTGTTGGTCCCAATCCAATCCCCGATCTCCATCTCATACTCGATCGCCCGGCTTCCCGCTCCCGGCTCGGCGGTTCCGCTTTCAACCATCGCATTCCACTCCACCACATTTTCCAAATTCCCTCATCACTTCTTCCACCAACCGGTCCACCTCACTCTTCATTCTTTTCCCTTTCCTTTATAAGCCACTTTACCATTTTATTTTTCTCAACAGCAAATGATCAACTGGGACCTTGGCGCAGTTGGCTAGCGCGCAGGTCTCATACTACTCACATGTATGATCTGACTGGGTGACTTCACCAAAAACAGTTTCAGAGTAATCCTGAGGTCGGGAGTTCGAGCCTCCCAGGTCCCAATCTTTTTACACTTTTTGCACTTGATCAAATTTTTTTTTTTTTTCCCCCATCATACTCAGAGAGAGTTGGTTGGTTGGATAATTTGTTGCAGCTGTGCGATAGATACATGCAGTACCTACCTACTAGTCTAGATATTCCTCATTCTCAATTAGTGTAGCGTCCTGTTGCTGCCTAGGAGGACATGTCTTCGTAACGTAGGTATTATGGTACTTGCTGGATGGAGGGTTGACTTTTTAACGTTGCTTGCTTTTTTTTTTTTTATTTTCAATTTTTTTTTAAATTTTTGGTTTTTTTTTCAGATTTTTTTTTCCAAGTTGGTCGAAGCGCTGCCGCTGGAGTTAAGATTGAGAACTTTCCGTATCGACACGAACGCATGAAATGGGGTTTTGAATAGGTCATCAATCTCGAGACAGTTTAAGGAACGGTCAGATACACGGCAGAGAGACAACAGTAACTGCATACTGTAGTGGTGTCAACCGGCCTTGTAAAGGTTTCTGGTTATGTTCTCTTTGCGTTCTGCTCAGTTTGCGGGCATGGGAAATTCTCAGCTATATCAGTGGTCTTCCGAATGTTCCCCATCTGTCATCTTCCTGGTTGAAAACCCGTTCTTATCCCTCATGTTTCTGCGCCCTGCCACCTTAACTTCCTCTCCACAGCCACCCCCTCAGGAGCGTGCGTGCAGTGAGAAAAGGTGGCAGGTAGCGATAAGGAACGAAGCTCCAAGTCACCACCACGCTCGGTAAAGTGTTTTTTTTTTTTCGTTGTGAATCAACGATGATGGTCGAAGTCGAATGTTCAAGTTCCGAAAAAGAGCCGTCGCATTGTCATCCCCCGTCCAAAGTGTTGCCTCGATGGCGATCAATGAACCTATAAGCAGTCAGTAGTAATGACTCTGGCGAGTCGCCTGTAGTCAGTCACAAAGGTAAGAAGGAACAGGGAGAAAGAAGGAAGGGCAGATTGATTACGTGGGAAAACCCCACTGGGCCTATGGATGAGAAGCCCCAAGCCCCCCTTTCCCCAAAGGGCCGAGGGTAAAAGCAACAATAGGAGAAGGGGGAAAGGGGGGTTTGGGGCTGCGGAGCTAAATGAACTGAAAAACCGATGTTCAACAAAAAGATTGCCGAGGCAAGCTTTGTTCACGCGCTTGCCGCTTTATGATAGTATACAGATATCTGCTGGGGTGAGCATCGGCCCCAGAGAGGGCCCAGAGTTCAGTGATAAGAACTCATGGCAGAAAGCTGAATGCGCTTGTCCGTAGCAGGACGAACTGCCGTTTGGAATGGCAGATGCGCTGAAACAAGAAATGTGGCACAAGGGTAAAGAGCAAAATCTTCGAGCCGTCGTCAGGCATATCGAAGGGGGTATCGTATGCTTCCATGGCCACTGAGATCTCGGGGCCCGATCTGCGTCGCTCAGTTGCCGCCGCAGTTGGATGCAGATATTCCGTATTCCGCCAACGCCACAAACGCCAAGTCTCTCCGTGTACGGTCATCAACCAATCGTGATACGCATGAGTTTTGTCGCGCATATCTGAACACATCGGAGACACTGAGCCTAGCAGAGAAACTCGTGCGTCAGAACTCATCGCATAATGCTTACCACCTAGCGTCTCCGAGGACCGGCTGGGCCATTAGGCGCTGCCAGCTTCTCCAGATGGGCTCGCTGATTTCGGAACGTCGAGTAATTGCCTGCCAAAATGACCTCCAAAATGCTGGCATTGCGCCTATCAGGGGACTGGGCTAGCTGCGCCATGCGTTCTGCAAGCAGTTCATAGGCTTGCTTGAAAAGTGCCACGATCGTGCCGGTGTTACTGGAGCCGCCAGCAATGTCGTTCTCCGAGTTGTTGGGGTCGATGATCGAGAATCGGTCATAGTTCTTGTACGCAAAGGTGCTGATCTTGTGCTGTATAATGCATCAGCCGAAGCGAGCGCAGGGCATACAATAATGAACACTTACCTTGGGAAGATATTTGGGCGGGTTCAGGCAAATCGCCGTGGTCCTGTAGTTGAACCGGTTACCATAAAGGTCGAAGAAATGCATCAAGAGGTCCCCGACGTGATGGTTCGGGTCCATAGATCCGCTTTGTATTTGGGGCATCAGCTGAAGCATGCTGGTGACCAAGCAGGTGACAGTGAAGCCTCCTATACCGCCGTTGACCGGCTCGTTCAGGCCCCTCATGCAAAGGAAATGCTTGATCAACGTGACCAGAACAGGCATCACAGGGAACTGATCTCTCCAGGCATGGAACGTCTTGATAGCCTGCAAGCCCGTGTCATTCTCAAAGGACACATCAATCTTGAGGCCTGTCCTGGAGTCAACCCACTTGACCAGCGGCACTTTGGCAAAGGCGATGATCTCAACCTCGTTCTGGAACGCAAGTTTGTGTTGCTTGAGGGCATCACTGAGCCTGTACATGGTCCTTCGAGTGTCATACTTGGCCCGATAGTTCCTTTTGAACTGATCGGAGCAGAGGACCATGTCCATGTCACCGGTAGGCAGGTAAAGTCCGGACGGGAACGATCCGAACGGATAGACCCCGGCGTCAGAAAAGGTGTTGCGAACAAACCTGTTAATTTCGTCGAGCACCTCCTCGCGGATACGTTTCTCGAAAGCACGAGGCTTAACGTATTCGTAGAAATCAATGATCTCTTTGTGCAGCCAACGGCCCATCGTGGGGCTGGCCGAATGATCTTCGGCATCTCGCATCCAGGGGCAAGAGTCCTGTTTGGGAACTGCTCGCCACTCAGGCTGAATCTTTCCACCTACAGGCGCCCTGGTTGCCTTCTTCAGCCTAGCATGAGGCAACTTGATCTCGTCGTCGTGGGTACGCTTCCTGCTACCCAAAGCAGAAGGAGTGGGGTCATCGAAAGTGGGACGAGTCTTGGGTAGGTTCTTGGGTATGTTCCTGGGTGCCGGAGGAACTGGGGCCGAGTCCTCTTCGTCATCAGTGCCTGTGAGATCAATAGTTCCTGTCTCAGGCTTCTTGTCCACAGGCTGCTTAACCTCGGGCTTCTTGGAGGGCTGCTTAGCCGCGACGGGAACAAGAGAAAGGGAATCACGAGCTGCTTTCCCAGTGGGCTTCACCTCCTGGATGATCTCGATGTCACTGTCGCTATCGGAATTAAACATGATGATCTCGTCCAGGTCGTTGGGGAGCGCGGCCTTTGTTTCGGCAGCGGTTTGCACACGAGCCTTTCTGATCATCTGCACAACATCCTTGGTCTTGCGCTCCCGAGCGCCCTCGGGAGGGAGTGCAGTGTAGGGGTCGGGGTTGGACCACTTGGGGGTGTTGTTGGCGCTGGTCGACTGATCAAGCGCAGTGCGAGCACGCTTGGTCGACGGCTCGGCATCTTCAGCGGCCTCATCTCCAGAGATGTCCATCTCGGCCTCATCACTGTCGGACAGTTCGTCGACATTCCGGTAGAGCACACCCGTCTCGGGATTGTAGAGGGCCTCTTCATTTCCAGACTCATGGGTACCGCTCAATAGCTCGCGCTCAGCCGCAACAAAAGGACGCCACGGTTTCCTAAAACCTCCGTGGGGGCCAGCGTTGCGGCCTCGTCCACGGCCACTGGGTCTTCCGTGGCGACGATCGCCTCTGGGAGAGTGGGCTCTGCGGCCGTTGTAGGACTGCCTGTTGTCGTTGGGACGGTAGTTGTCGTAGCTCGAATTGCTGACTCCCGGCGGCTTCTCTACTCTAAACGAGAAATCGCCCTGAGGAGGCCGGTAATTGTCGCGATCTCTTCCACCGCCACCGCCACCGTTGTTGCGGTTGGAGTAGTTGTCGGAGGGACGGTACGATGTCGGCTGGGGAGGTCGGGCAGGGAGACCATGAGGGCCATTCGGCGCGCGTTGTTGATAGCCATTGCGGTCGTCCCGAGGGTCGTTACCACGACGTCGACCGCCGCCGCCGCCGCCGCCACCGCCGTTCTGGTATCGTTGTGACATGCTAAAACTAGCAGTTATGGGTTTATGCGATATTGACCACGATAAAGCGCATCGAGTGAGTGCTCGGTATCGGAGCACAAGAGGATGAGGTTGATTCCACAAGGGGGACAAAATACGCTGAGAGGCGGAAATGTTCACCTTGTCATTTAATTTTTTTTTTCAAAAGTCAGAGGTAAAAGTTGAGTGGGGCAACATGGAATTTGTAGTGTAGTGGTCGGGTTGCAGAGTGAATTCAGTTGCCGTGACGGGAGCGGGAGTGCGTGTGCTTTCAACAGTGGAAGTGATGGATGACGGAAGGCAGGGCTGCCCGGTCCCAGCAGTCGAGGTTTCCACAAGGCAGGCTGTGTGTGTGTGTTGTGCCCGTTGCCGCAGAGCAGTGGCAGGGCAGGCGCCGGCAGGTTCCGTTCTCACTCTCCGGCGCTGTCAGGTCAATCTTTGCACTTGCGGCGGCGGAAATGATGAAATGCCAAGCAAGAGACCCCCAGCCCGTCGAGGTCCGGGTAGCACTGATAACCCTTATCGTTCCCCTTATCAGCAGGTCGTCGATGCATGTGGAATTTCTGCGACAACAACCGCGACGCGACTCTCCCACGCACTTCAAGCTACGAGGGCCGGGGCGCAAGAGGGATTCAATTGTCAGCAGCCGTTGTGTCAGTACTGTGATGACTGGACGAGGAGGGGCTAAGAAGTCCCGGGCGGCGGGGCCGGCACCCCCCACGACAACCCTGGTTCTCGACAACGGCGCCGACACCATCAAGGCTGGATTCGTCTCCGATGACAAGAGCGACGGCAAGCCTCGCATCATTCCAAACTGTCTCGCTCGAGACCGTCACAGGAAGATCTATGTTGGCTCGGAGCTCGAAAAATGCAAGGACTTCAGCGAATTGGCCTTCCGGCGCCCCGTCGAGAAGGGCTTTATCGTCAACTGGGAGGCCCAGAAAGAGATCTGGGATCGCGAGTTCTTCGACGATAAAGCTGCGCAGAAATGCGATCCATCAGAGACCAGGCTCATTCTCACAGAGCAACCAAACTCACTACCTTCTCTCCAAACACACTGTGACCAGATCGTCTTTGAGGAGTATGGCTTTGCGAGTTACTACCGTGGCCTGGGTATGTCGCATCCTAGAGAGCTGTTAGGGAAAGGGTGCTGACCTTGTTTTCTAGGTCCTGTCTTCAACGCGTACCGGGACATACAATCCATCTTCCGAACACCCCAATCCACCATAGACAGTCCAGCCCAAGTCATCCTGCTCATCGACTCGGGTTACTCTCACACCACCGTTACGCCTATCCTCCAAGGCCGACCGCTACATCCGGCCATACGAAGACTTGATGTGGGTGGCAAGCTCATGACCAATTATCTCACCAGGTTACTGTCCGTCCGCCACTTCGACATGCGCAACGAACCATACATTGTGAACGAGATGAAAGAAGCAGTCTGTTACACCTCCCTGGACTTCAAGGGAGACCTGGAAAAGACCTGGAAAGGCACGCGCGGCGAAAAGAGGGAGGACTATTTGAGCGGTGCTGGCATCGCCAAAGACTACGTTCTGCCCGACTCCCACACGCGCTTCCACGGTGTTGTCCGCGACTACGAGCCTGGTGTCTCGGCGCGCGCCCGCAAGGGCATTATATCCACAGAGGACGTCCTGACGCTACGGAACGAGCGTTTTGTTGTTCCGGAGCTCCTCTTCAACCCTTCTGATATCGGCATCCGGCAACCTGGCATCGCCGACCTAGTCAAGCAGTCCCTCTTGGCTGTGCCCATTGGACTGTGGCCTGGCCTTCTGGCTAATATCGTAGTTGTGGGAGGAAACAGTCTCTCTGAAGGGTTCTGTCAGCGCTTGCAGACAGAGATTCTCAAGCGATTCCCCGATGAATGTAGGGTCAGAGTTGCCCGCCCGGAAGACCCTATCATCAGCACCTGGTTGGGAGCTGCCAATTTCGCCAAGCATGAACATGCTAGTAGGCTCGAGGTCACCAAGCAAGAGTATGAGGAACATGGAGCAGCTTGGGTGGCAAGAAAATTTGCTGCTGGGCTCGGACTCGACCCATGAGCATTTGCTTGGAGTCTATTATTGCCATTTTTGAAGCTTTCAAGGGTTCGATAGCCCATAAAGCGATTGCCAAGCGGCTGGCTATGCTGCTTGATTGAGTGCTCGGCTGGATACTACCCAGACACCAATGAGCTGGGTGGGCTAGCACGCGTTGCTTCTTGCCGGTCTCTGGACGTTGAGTGCCATACATTCTGTCTGACAAGCGCCGATTAATTCGAAACCCTGCTGTGCCATGCCAGAACACGAAGACCAAGTCTCGATGGGCTGGATCCATAGACTGGGTGTTGATCTTGATTGAGATGCACTAGGGCAAAACCGCGCAACTGATCTCAGCTACCTACAGCTCTACACGGAAAAGCAGGTATCGGAGTTTATGAGGGCGAGCTGCTTGCCACCCTTGTGATATCCATGATGCTGCCTTTGGTAAAGTTTTCAAAATGGTTTGAAGAAAGGATCAACGCTAACCCTCGGAAAGAGACCAAATCACACCATCATCATCAGTGGTTTGTTGTGATCGCCTGCAGCTTCTTTATCTTAAACAAACTTGGTTCAGACCAAGAATTTGGCCCATTTCACCTCCAAAGGTGCAAATAACCCAATATATATGAAGCTCTACTCTATCAATGGGATCTTGCCCAAGCCTAGCTTTTCAGCCTCTGCATTCAGAGCATCAATCTCTGCCTTGGCATATGGTATGCCGTCTTTCAATCTCTGCTCCTCGTTCAGCTGCTCAATCTCGCCCGGGAAGTAAATTCTGTCGACGCCATGCATCTTCTCCGAGTTCACCGCTTTCTGGTATAGGACATCCATGCGTTCCCTGAACTCGTCCAGGCTCATGAACAAGTCAGGTTTGATGGCCACGAAGAAGTGGCCAACGTCCCCCGGCTTGGACATATCATACGGCCCCGTGACGCCTCCAGCAAACGCAGAACCCGAAAGCACGCCGGAGAAGACATCCATCATGATAGCCAGCGCCGACCCCTTCGGCCCACCCATAGGCAGCATCACGCCTTCCAGCGCCTTGGCCGGATCATCGGTCTGCTTGCCCTCCCCATCCAAAGCCCAATCAGTCGGTATCTTCTCTCCCCTCCTCAACGCCTTATAAATCTTGCCCCTCGCTGCGACCGACGGGGCCATATCCAAGATGAACGGCTTCGACCCCTCGCCTTTCCCACCCGGCGCTCCACAGGCGATGGGGCTTACACCCATCATCTTCTCCTTGGAACCCCACACGGGCAGCGCAGGCGACGAATTGGTAAAAACCAGACTCATCATGTCCGCTTCCACCGCTTGCTTGACAATCCAAGCGGACATGCCAAAGTGATTGCTATGCTTGACGCTTACCAATCCAATGCCATAGACGCCCGCCATTTTGATGGCGGTGTCCATGCCCAGGTGCGCGGCGGGGAAGCCGAATCCGTTCCTCGCGTCTATTTGGGCGACTACGGGCGTGATCTGCTTTAGTTCCGGCTCGGCGGCTGGGTCCAAAACCCCGCCACGCACGCGTGAGAGGTAGGATGGCAATCGCAGGATGCCGTGGCTTTCAACGCCGCGCAGGTCAGCTTGGACGAGCCCAGAGGCGGTGATTTCGGCGTTTTTGGCGGACACGCCGGAGGCCGTTAAAAGGGCGGCCGCAAAGGTTTTAGCATCGTGGTGGTTGACACGGACGAGGTTGGGGGTTTCTGTTGTTGATGCTGTCGCCATGGTTGTGGAGGGGTTACTGCTCGACTGGCGGGGGTGCTTGACCGTGGAAGGTGGTATGTATCAGTGGTGAGGTGGTCATGTGCCCTCTTTTAAGAGATGGACGAATGCCCGGGTATCGGCAGTGATGCGGGGAAGGCCTTTTTAGTGGGATTCTTGTCAAGTTCCAGTCATCTTCGCTTATTACGAAAGCAACTGAAGCCAAGATTGGGAATGGCACATTAAGCCGCCCCACTTGGCAAGAAAGACTGCCGAGCCAAGGACCATCTCCCGCTGTAGCCAAGCAAACCCCACGATTTGATGCCAAGCCATGTATCCATCCTCAACGTCGATCCTCAAATGTCCTTTTCCTCGGGCCGCGAATAAGCTCTCAATGATTGTCAGGTCGCACGGCCAGATCAAGCTGGTCGATATATCACATCTCAGAGCGCTGTCCCCCTCTTGCAACATCCTACACTACTATGCAGCAGTATCCTCCGAAAACTCCCGCTTACGCCTGTCATACATAACCTCTCGATACTCAAGGAGGAGATCCGGGTTCTAAACTCCGTGTCGCTCATACCCGACCATACAGCAACGGTCCTGGAGACCAGGGTGAGACGCGTACACTACTGCGTCGACTCGGAGGACTTGTGGGTGTCCCCCTCCAAAACGGTCCTCGTCTAGTGTATACCTATAACAGCACTCGTGGCCGCACAAGCGACCATCTTGTCAAGTGTTGCCACGCGTTCCGAATGCGGGGAAATTGAAGCATCCGGGGCTTAAGCCGAGCGGTAAGAGCAACCTGGTTTAACCTAAGAACAACTGAGAAGGCTCGCTACAAAACTACACTGACATAAATTCGTATCAAGTTCGCTTGTAGTCGTCATCCCCGGGTATTCGGAAGCTCAATGTTTGGCAACAGTATCATGCTCTCTATAGAGCCCATTGCTTTGTTATACCCTTTAGTCCAAACATTGAGCCGACCGGTGTAGCCACCTGCCAAACATGGAAATAAAGTCGCCATGCACATCAGCGCTACACTCTTTGTCAGCGTAAGACTTGCAACCTCGACTTCCGACCTCTTCCGTCCACAGACGGAAGAAGATAAGGGATTCCGGAGCTCATACAGGGTCAAGAACAACAATCGGTCGTGTCCCGCACATATGTCTCAGATGTGACTGCATTCACGGCGGACAAGAGCCGACTGAAATATCCACGCCAGGACTCCCGCCTAGCAATCCGAGAAGTGGTTATGGCCCTGTGCAAGTACTACGCTAACAAACAAACCAAAGGTGAACTGCACACGTGTGTGCATTCCCGTTTATTGATTCCTCCACCAACCACAAGCAGGCGGCGGGATGCGGGGGACTCTACACTACGCAAGTGAGCTCCAGACGAGGCCCTCTTTCCACACCGGCATCTTGGTTCCATGAAGGCTCATTGGCGGCGTAGAACAGAAACTACGACGCGGAGAAGCAAGGAAAAAGAGAAGAGATTCTAAAGTCGCCTCGAACTGATAAGCGCCGAACTAGCCCAACTCGAGATGTCTCTTTACATGCAGGAAGGTTGGGGGAAGCCATTGTGTCCATCATCAGCCAGTAACGAACGCATACCATTGGCCAAACATTGTGGTGACCACCCAATTGCCAGAACCCAGATTCCACCACCTTCCAGATTCAAGGTTCCCGCCCGGCAAATCTTTCCCGGAGGAAGAGGAGTTGATCCTGCTTGTGGCATAGCCAAGGTGCACACTACATTCTGTTCGGCTTTCTTCAAGGACAATGAGGGCAGCTTCCACAAGTGAGATCGGCCACTCTCGGCCCGCTTGTCATGGGTCTTGATCGTCGGTTGTCTTATAACTATTAAGTTGGTGATAGCACCCACCTCTTCTGTGTTCCTACCGCCTGTTCCTCTCATACCGCTTATCGGCCGCACCCCAACCTCACCATGGCCGGCGGCGTCAAGAAACCCGTCAACATCTTCAAGCTCAAAAACTTGGACGAGCCAAAGGAAGTGTTCAACTGGAGGCTATGGTTCGCCGTCTTGTCCTTCGGCCTGTTGGGCGCTGCCCGTGGTGTCGACGAAGGACTGATCAATGGCGCATTGAAGAGCAAGAACTTCCAGGACAGCATCAACTATGCCTCGTACTCAACGGTTGAGCAAGCGAACATCAAGGCAAACATTTCGTCTATGGTACTGATTGGGAGTGTCGGGGGGGCATTAATGTAAGGAACAATCCCGTTTCAGCACCTCTTCTTCTTCTTCAGTCCATCTCGTTTTACTGACAGATACCGGCTGCAGTGCCTTTATGATCTGTGACAGAATAGGGCGAATCTGGGCTACTCGAATACTTTGTCTACTTTGGATCTTGGGCATCGCCATCTTCATGGGTTCGAACGGCAACCTGAGTCTAGTTTACTTTGGTAGATTTGTTGCAGGACTCGGTGTCGGACAGGTTAGTTTTACCCTACTGATGGCCTCATCGCAATGGGAATTCAGCTAATACGAGAGGAACCGCTCATTCTAGTCGCCTGTCGTCGGGCCAGTTTATATCGCCGAAATAGCTCCAGCCAGCATTCGTGGTTTCTGTGTTTGTAAGTAATCCCCTTTCATCCCTTCTGCAGTATATTTATTATTTTCACATAAAACTTTCAGTACTCCTACTGACAACTTACTTTGATAAACAAAAAGGTACCTTTACCGGCTTCGTCTATCTCGGTATCGTCCTTGCATACTTCACCAACTACGGGTGCCAGCTTCATCTCGCCGAGACGCCAGCCCGTTGGATGGTTCCTACCAGCCTCCATATCATATTCGCGGGTCTTATTTTTCTCCTTACCTTTTTCCAGTACGAATCGCCCCGGTTCCTAGTCAAGACAGGCAAAAGCGACAAGGCGCTCCACGTCATGTCCCGTCTGCGCCACTTGCCCCCCGACCACGACTACGTTCGGCACGAAATCAACGCCATCACGCTCAGCCACCACGAAGAAATGGAAGCTTCCAAAGGCGCCGGCTGGCTCGGCATCCTCAAAGAAACCTTCACCGTGCGCAGCAACCTCTACCGCGTTGGCCTGACTCTCGGTGCCCAGGTTATGGGTCAATGGTCCGGCGCCGGCTCCATCACCATCTACGCGCCGGACCTGTTCGAACTCCTCGGTCTTACGGGCACTAAAGAGTTGCTTTTGGTAACAGCCGTCTTCGGCATCGTCAAGCTAGTTGCCGCCATCGTCTGCGCCCTCTTCCTGGTTGACTTCATCGGCCGCAAACGCTCTCTCCTCTTGGGAATAGCCTGTCAAGCCATCTCGATGATTTACATTGCAGGCTTTTTGTCCGCGACCCCCGAACTCGGCAACGAAGAGGGGTACGTGATTCCCGCCAACTCGGGAAAATTACGCGCTTCGCGAGGCGCCATCGTCATGATTTTCCTATCGGGAATCGGCTGGGCGCTGGGTTGGAATAGCATGCAGTACTTGCTCAGCTCAGAGATCTTTTGTCTGCGCCTGCGTGCCTTTTGCTCGAGTTTGGCGATGTGTCTGCACTTTGCCAACCAGTACGGCAGCGCGAGGGCTGTGCCTGACATGTTGCTCCCCGTGAGAGAGGGCGGAATTTCGGGACAGGGAACATTTTGGTTCTTTAGTGCTGTAACGATATTGGGCGGAGTATGGGTATGGTTCTTCGTACCAGAAACCGCCTCTAGGAGCTTGGAGAGTATGGATAGGTTGTTTAGTTTGCCGTGGTGGCAGATTGGGAGGTATGGAAACAGGGAGGCGGAGGTGCTCGATGAGGCGGAGCGGGTCGGAGGGGAGAAGGAGATGATGTCCAGGAGCGGGTCGCATGTGGAGGAGGAGAAGGGAATGGCGTACGCGGCGGAGAGAAGGGTCTGATGTTGGTTGGGATTTTGAAAGAAAGAAATGTTGAAGAGTCCAAGAGTTGAATGGCTGTGATAGTTGGAGGTAGCCAATGATATCCTGCCATGCTGCCATGGCGGTTCGTATTGTCTTCATGCGATCCTTGACATAACAACAAGGCGTGGTGGCAGAGTGGTCTAATGCGCAAGACTAGAAATCTTGTTCCTTCGGGAGCGTCTGTTCGAATCAGGCCCACGTCGCACGATGACCATGAAACCCTTCTTTTTTGCCTTGTATACTAGTTTCACTGCAGAGGCCCGTATCATGTTCTTGGGGAGGCGGAAGTAGACATTACAAACGACAGAAATTTATGTGTGATATTTAGCTGGTTTTGTATTTTATTTCGTGGTATTTTTTTGTGCGCCAGAATTCCAAAGCAAGCTCTGACCATATAGTACCTGGATTTTGACCAGTCAGTATCCAAGGTCCGCTGGCTCAATGGCAGAGCGTCTGACTACGAATCAGGAGGTTCCAGGTTCGACCCCTGGGTGGATCGATTCTTTTTGAACATCTTTCCAGTGGCTTTTGTTTTCTTGTCCTTCCTTTCACGCTTCAGTGACACTCCTTTTTTACTCCTTCCTTTTCCATTTATTTCAATTACAAACCTCAAGCGCTTTTTACTCTCCCGTTCGAGAGTACCTTAAATAGGCTTGCCGGCCTTTAGGAACTGCCCTTGCAAGAAGTATCGAACTTGGACCTGAGGCAAGAACATCCATTGAAATTACGTACGTCACGTAGCACCAAATTTCTCGTGGCTATCACACATTTCCACATGAAGCCGACCAAATTTCCTATAGCGGGCAGAAGAAGCGAGTGCACATCCAAAGCTAATGGCCCTATGTTTCACCTCGCTCCGACTCTGGAAAACTTTGGATGTTGACGATTGCCATAGCACGCGCCAGATGTTCTTCGTCAGAAGACGTAACACTCACTCATGGCCATAGCCATGTCTTGGATGGAAGAGCCCTCCAGTCAGCCACAGTCCAACGTCCATGTGCAGACGCTGAGCGATGTTCTTCATCCAATCACCATGTCCCATTGGAAATCAGTGACATTGTCTCCCTTTACGGAGTCTATCATACCCACTCTCACCCAAGTTGGGCAAGGCCGATACTCAGTCATTGCCGCCGGTGGCTTCGGGAATCGAAATTGTTTCTCAAGGCAATCTTACTCAAGGAAGCAGACAAGTGTGTGATGAGAACGGGACAAGGCAACGCATTTAAGGCACAAAAAGCATGCAAACACAACTGCCATGTGTCTCATGACATGGGTGGTGTTGCCTTCTTCCGTGCCAACACCAGTCTTACTATCACCACCATCTTGGAGGATCTTCGAGTCCATCAGTGACGAGTTGACGTGCCGTCACAACATTGGGAAGGTCATTGGACGCCGCCAGTAGACAACCAACAACCTATGCTCTTCAAGGCAGACAGCAAACGATAAAGAAAGTCCCCGTCTTTGCCATGATACCAAGTGAAATACGAAGGAGAAATTCCTCGGTCACTATCTTGGCTGTCGCGGCGTAGAGGCTGAGGTGGCAATCGACGACCCTGATTTGCTGGGCGGTGTTGTTGAAGTGCGAAAGCCAATCCCACATCCGAATCATACCCGTGTAAGCCAGTGGTACCGTTGCAACGGGCGGCCTGGCCTGCGATGCAGCTCATCAATAGTCCTCCGGATGATATAGGTATGTGGGGGCTGCTGTTACCTCGTACATTCGAAATTTCCTCAACCCTTCCTCAACGTCTCATCATCAATGTTTCTGTTCGTAGCGTTGAAAGGCATATCACAGCCGGTTACGAACGAGTTTACACACCATGCCATGTTGCTCTTAGGAGTGTCAGGACTCTTTCACAACCGGTACAAAGTAAGATGTATGACGATCCACGAATCAGACCTACGGCATAAAAGCCTAAGAAGATCATCCACGAGTAGGCATATATCATTGAGCAAGTGTCATCACGTTCCCATTCGGAACATCACATAAGACAACGGGATAGCCACGCTCCATCCTTTGGGGCAAGTCATCCGATAAACGCCATGTTTTGTTCGAAGCAGCCACAGAGTCCTGTGGGCACCGCCTGACATCTTGCCTCACCGACGCCTGGCAATTGTATGCACTCTAATCGTCCCCCACCACCCTTTTGGTTGAGGTGTTTAGCGAAAAATTGGCAGCGCCTTTCTTTTGGACTTCTTCTTCCACCATACAACCACACGAATTAGAATGTCAATTCTTCCTCATTGGTTTCAGCCACGATGTCACAGGTAATGGCACAGACAGGCAGTCAGGCACCGAAATCAGTAATACAGTGGCGCAGGCCAAAGGCCACTTTCGTGTTCAACTTCACAACTAGGTACCTGGCATTGGTGATGGAGGTGGGGGACATGGAAGAAATCACCCGAGCACATGCAGAAAATCAAGGTTGTTGATTTTCTGTTCGGTTGGTAAGTTCCTCTTTATCATCAGATGTTTTGCCGAGCATTGACGAAAGCGCATAGCCGACATTTCCTCTTAGCGCCTTTGACGCACTGAAAACAACATCTTTCAAGCGTCCAACTGTATGGTGACGAAAGATATTGAGATATCTGGCATTAATCTTGCTATCTTGAGTCTTGAACGTGGACTGAGAGCTACTAGTATCCATTCGGACAACCTCCTCCGCAGGTTTAGAGTGTTGGACAGACTCCGTAACGGGAAGCTGTGTGGACCACCGTTGCAACGGCGAGCACGGCGAAGTATCATTTCCTTTGCAACCAGCATTTAGGGGTGGGTGTGTAGCTTCCTGACACTCACACTGCCTGGACCTGTTTCATTGGCTTGACCCTCCAAGGCATCAACGTTGTGGGATTGATTTTGCTGTGACATACGGCGGATATCCCCGTGCTTCACTTTGCCCATCACCTCAACCTTCAACCGGTTACAGGTACACATTCCATCCGACACAGGACTACACACTCGGTTCCGTCAAATACTACCAAACTCGTGGCATATGTGCCCACAACCACCACAATCTCCTCCTTCGCATGACCATTTTCCCGAGAACACATTGGCGAATACAACGCCTGAAGTAGAAGGAGGATGTGATCAACGTATGGACACCACCATTCCTTCTTGAAGATGGTCTCGAACCTACAGTTTCACGCGCAATGAGGAGCGCTCGAGAACATGGAGTTGAAAGAGGAATGGTCGCCTTGCCACTTTCTCGTGCTGTGATGGAGCTCGGTCTCAGCCCGTTGTAGAACACGAGCAGGCTCTTGTATGAATGGGTATCGCTTCAGCTTCCCTACCTGGAAGGGAAATAACTGTGACGGATGCATGGATAGAGTAGCAACTTTCTCGTGTTCTGGCCATCTTGGAAAAGGATAAAGCGGGGGGAGTTCCTGCAGTGATTTTGTTATCTTCGGTAATTCACTCAGCAATCCTGGGCGAAGGGGCCTCTCTATCTACCTGATTGTCTTGTAGATATCTTTTTGCTACAGCTTTGCAATTGCCTATATAACACTTCTTTTTTGAACCACAAGCCCCTGCATATATTCTTATCATGAAGCTCCTCCCCACAGCTATTTCCCTTCTGGGTGTATTATCCCAACCTATTCTAGCCCAGTTTACTTTCACGTCTACAGTCGAACACAATGGTGTTCCAGTGCCGCAGTCCGAAACTGATCTCAAGCCGTTCGAGCCAGGTACCCTTGGCCGCGTCAGGAGCCGCACATACGATGATTCGGGCCCCAAGATAGAAACGACGACCCTGAGACGGGTTAAGAGAACCAATCCGACTGCAAATAGTAACAACTGGTGTGGTTCTGTACAAAGTACAACGTCCAGCAATCAAATCAAGCTCATCCACGGTACCTTTCAACATCCCTCGTGCACTCAGCGGCCCGGTGTCACTCAGTATCCCCAGGCGGCAGCCGCTTGGATTGGTATTGATGGTGATTCGTGGACTTCGGCCTTGCTGCAAGCTGGGACGGTTTGCAAGGTTGGTTACTGTTATGTTCAGCTCGGCTCTAATTTCCAGTATTTGAACAACAAGAAGTAAAAAGAACTAAAAACTAACGATGGTTGCGAGTAGATCAACAACTCTACGGGAATAGTTGAGTAAGTTACTCTCATCCTCATTCATCACCTTGCAATAGCCTGGCCAGAACTGACAGCGCTATGCCAACAGAAACGAAGTCTGGTGGCAATGGGTCCCCAATGGTGCTTACACGATCACTAACATTCCCGTCTTTGCTGGTGATTGGTTTGATATCACCATCAATACGACCTCCTCCACAGCAGCGAACATGTAAGTGTTAGATATTTCATCTCCTTCCGATCGTTCAGGCCTCACTGCAGCCTCTCTTCCACTCATCACCCATCTTCACTTCTTTCCCTTTGATAGGTACCTCACCTCCCAACCCAGTCACCTCACTAACTAACCTCCTCCCCTTCTCCCTTCTTAGTAAAATCATGTCCAGCCGCGGCTACACTTACACCGTCAATGCCTGGCAAGGGGCCGCCTTGGCGCGCGTAGACGCCGACTGGGTCGTCGAGCGGCCCTACTACGGGAACACCCTGACGGGCTTTGCGCAATTCACCCAGGTTTGGTTCCAGAATGCGTATGCAACACTTATGAGTGGGACTAACAGTTTGGGCATTACGGGCGCGAAGCAATACCAGATTCCCGGTGGGTGTGCGAGCGCAGAGTATGATAATTCGAAGCTATATGCTGCTGTTGCGCCTTAGGAAGGGGTGCCATAGAGGGTGAGATGGAGGATGGGGAGGAGGAAGGACAAATGGTGACTGTTCGATTGTTTCCTTGGACACACTTTGGCTTCCTGGGCTGGAATCTCTGTTATAGTTCCAGGTGATATCTTTTTGGGAGGTAGCTTGACTTTTTGGCGCTGATGGTTCGGGATGGGGACTGGTACTGGATGGGATTTTGTTGCTCTCTAGCCGATGCGCGGATCTTTTGACGTTACTAGTATATTTGACTTGGTTTCAGGATCCATACTTATCTCAGCAGGCGATTTGCGCTCGGTTTATTCGATTTCTCTCAGCTTTCGTCCTTCTTTCTTCATTAAGTGGCGTGGAGATCTGCTGCATCCGACTCCGCTTTCGAGTCCGAACATTCCCTACAGACACTCCCCAATTGCGAGCGACATGCTTGAGTTATCGACAACGCAACTTTCGCAAAAAAGAAATGGAGAGGCATAATAAGGTGCAGACAGAGGACAATGTTATAAAAGAGACAGAGGAAGTGATCCAGAGCTGCAAAAAGCGCAAAAAGAATGCCCAATAACAGGATTGAACTGTTGACCTTCGCATTGACTTGATATCTCGGAGAAGATATTAGTACGACGCTCTAACCAGCTGAGCTAATCGGGCTGTGCTGTTATTGATAGCGAATCTGTAGATAGGCACTATAAGCCCTCATTTTGGGATTAACTCTGCGTGCTGCTGCCGGCCCTTCCCCCATTGAAAACGCACAATGCCCGAAGAACTAGTTTAGAAACGGCGCACGCAGTTTCTTCCCACCAGCAGAGAGGTTTATTTAACAAATAATGGAGTCATGTAATTGACATCGTATCTCAAACTTCAATCTCCCGCTCACAGCGGGCGAGTGTCCAAACCAGACGGCAAGTCTGTGTCGATCTGATAGAAAGAAATTCCCATCAAGTAGTCAATCACCCTACCCACCGCCGTCCCGGCTTATTCTCCTTGATTCTCGCCTGCCCCATAAATCCTGCCAACGGCGGCTTCCCCAAACTCTCCGGATCTGGAGCCGGCACTCCACACCTCACCTCCAAGCTTCGCCACTGCCCCCCAACCGCCCGGTCCTCCTGGGTGAAGACCACCGTGTTCAAGTACCCCGCGCAATTCGGCTCGGCGAACACACGCGCTTCGCAGCCGTCTGACTTGTTGGCTAGAAAGTTGCCGCAGCCGGCTGTACCGGCTGTAGAAGAAGAAGAAGAAGAAGAAGAAGAAGGGTTACCGGTGCTGGGGATGTTGTAACATTGTGGTGGTGTGGTGAGGAGGCTGTTGCCATCTGGCGAAGGCGAGGGGGGTGGTAGGTCTAGAAGGAGGACAACGTGCCCGCGGCAGTGGGTGGGGCCGGGTACACCGGAGAATATAGTAGCGCGGATAGGGAGGTGGTTGTCGGTTTGGTTGTCGGTTGGATCGCGGTTGATGGTTACTTGGCCATTGTCTTCTTTGAGGTTGGCACCGGCAGGGAGTTGGGGGATCGCGGTGGCTGTTGGTATGGAAGACGAGGAAAGAAGGATGAATAGGAGGAGGGTGAGAGTTCGTATTTGAAGCATGTTAATGCGTGTCGCGCGCACGCGGTTCTTGCTGGGTCTTGGTCGAGTGAGAGTTTTCGGTGTCGAAATTGAGCGTTCAGGAAGTCGACTCTTGATGAAGATCTCGTTTAGGTGAACACAGACCATTTTGATGTCGATATGCTGAGGGCGCCAAGAAGATGTTGTTTCACAGCGGTTTCGTTGCGAGTCCCTGAGTGTAGAGTTGCATCAACCAGGAGCTTTCCCGATATCTTATGTTGCATCGTCCGTCCGCTCTCCGAACTCTAACTCAATGATCGAAACTCAGACAAGTCCTAACAAGACTCCCACATCCCAGTACGACACACTGAAGACCAACTCCCTCATTACTATGTACTGATAGCGTTGATAGGAAAGGAAATACAGCGAAAAGAAAGATTGTATGTTCGATAATATGAATAGAAGCCGATGCTTGTTACTCTATAAATCCTGGATGCTGTCTAACTCTTATCATTGGGTATCTATCATTCAAATGGTCTATAATGCCATACCCGGATTGCCGCTTCGGGCCAACCAGCCGTTTATCTTCAGAGATTGCGTGTACCGTATTATTTGCCCAATTTTGTCGGCGCCCAGTCAGCCAACCAGCTCCTGGCCTTTGTAAGATCACCACCCTCGGCTTCAAGTGCAGCGATGCACCATTCTCGCTCCCAGGCACCTTCTGCAGCCAGCATCTCGGCGGTCTTCTTACGGCGCTGAGATGCCTCATCGACGCAAAAGTGCATAGGCTTTGAGCAGTCTCTGATGTCTTCCAGAAGTGGCTTCACCAAGGGCAGAGCAGCCGCAGCACTAGAGCCTAGGGGTTCTAGCCCCTGGTTGGCGCGGCCTGTCTTGCACCATTCGTTTTGGCACCATTTCTTACCACAGCCGGTCATCAGCTGAGCAAGGTAGCGCCTTTCAATCCTTCTCCGCAATGCTTTACCTTCAGGGTCATACATGCTAACGTAGAGCGGAGAGAAACATAGGCTACAAAGACCCAGGTCGTTACCCGGGCCTTGGCCCATCCGGGTTCCGCCATTGATTTGCCCACGAGGACCAACACCATGTAGAGTCCGCCCACAGAGCTCGTCTCTGCATACTTCCGGTTTCGGGCGGGACACCTTGTCCAGCTCATGATTTGTGCTGTGGGCAGCCATGTCCCTCAGACGGACAATGGCTCCGCATAGATGACAATCGGTCGTGCGAGCACCGTCGGCTCGCTCATGGGCGGTCAGACCTGATATGACAGTCTCGGCCTCCGAAGCTGGATCAAGCGGATCACCTTCCTGAGGAACCTCAAGGTGGCAGAACTGACACAGGATAATTTTGCCAGGGCACACGGTCGTGCGGTGGCGCGCCAGCTCGGTCATAGATGGGAAAGAGAACGGGCTAGATGGTCCACAAGACTGGCAAACGTGAGTTGTGTGCTGGATGTAATCGTGCTTGCTTTTGCTAAATGGTGTTGAGCCATACGCCTCGGGGTGGGTTGGACAGTGCCAGTGGGCAGCCCACTCCTCGGATGATTTTTTAAAGACATTTTTGCAATGAGGGCAAACAACGTTATTTCGGATGCAGAAGTTCTCGTGTAAAACGATCGTCCGCTTTGGCACGAACTGCAAGCAGTTCTTGCACTGCTCCTCGTCGGTATTCTTTGCGGGTGAACTCGCGAGAACAACCGGTGCTGTTGCGGAACCTTGCACCTCTTCAGCCTTGGCTCGGAGAGTATATCGTCGAGGTGCGGCCGTGGAAGTAGGCTGGTCTGGTATCGAGGAGCCATAAACGGCTATCAGGAGGCTTTCCGCACCCTCGAGTTCAATATTTGTAGGCTGAATGATGACGCGCTTTACACCATCTTTTGGCGATGAGAAATCGGCAAAGACATGCTCGGAATCCCGGGGCAGCGCTCGTTGTCGGTTGGACTTGGGGCTGATGAGGAGATCAACCTCTTGATCGTCTTCAATCGACAGCTCGATGGCAAGGGGGCGTGACCTGTCCCAGGATGGTAGAGTATAGTCAACATAGTCCCCTGCTAAAACTTGACCATGGACATCC